GGAAAGAGCCGCAGCGAACTCCGCTTCAGTCGCCATGTTTATGACAAACTCAGCGTTACGGTGTGTGGCGTACGCTGCTCAGCACTGACTGGCTCGGTTAAAATTCTCAGGGGGTGGGGTTATTTGAATAGGAGTGTTCCCAGACCCTTTCTCTGTGCAGAATTAAGCAGAGGAGGAGTCTGGCAGGCCAGGCTAGTAAATTAGTCTCCAAGAACAAAGTAAAAACCTAGGTGTTATCTTTGATGAGGACATGTCATTAAAATCCCACGTTAAACAGGGTTGTAGGATTTCCTTCTTCCACTATCAGAATATTGCTAAGAGTAGAAGAATCCTTTCCAGGAGTGATCCATCCGTTTCCAGCCGCTTATCCGGAGTCGGGTCGAGGGGGCAGCAGTAAAAGTTTTTCTGATTGGCTTAATGAACTGAACTGTCTTGGATTGTCTACTGAGTTAAGTGCCTTGAGACAACTCTTGTCGTGATTTGGCACTGTATAAGTAAACTAAATTGAACTGTAAAGACAAGATGAAAAAAAAAGGTTGTTAATATCGACCCAGTCTTATTTATCAGACCGATACCAATATGTTAAAAAAATGATTAGCATTGGCCGGTACCGATATTGGTGCCTCGTGGACAGCGCCAGTCCATGAGGTGTCTACCTCATGTCTCTTTGGACACGCGGTGTCTTGTGTGTGACACGGCCAAAAAAATCAGTGGTGGGAACCTACCACTTCTGGCTTCAACCTGCCCCCCGTGGAACAATGGGCAGGTTATGTCCATAGTTTTTATATGTCCATGGTTGCTACCTAATCTTAACTAGATGACATGATGGTACTTCAGCTATTGCTAGCTAGCACAGTAATATGCTAATCAAAGAAAATGAAAAATACAACAAATCTAGTCAAAAGTACATACCTCACTTCTTTGTGTCTTTGTTCTTTTTCTCTCTGACAAAACGGTGCCCCGGTGACTTCTGCTACTTCATCCTCCTCAGTGGTTTAGCCGTTCATGCACAGAACCCAACAGGCAATCCCACATGAGTCTGCTAGCAGGTTGTGATCAGAACAATCAAATCCAAGAAGGGTTCCGGGGACGACAGATGTCGGACATGAATGCAACAAAATTGTAGTATAGTATACTAGTATGCTAGTATGATGGTGTCATGAATAAACGTTTAATCCCACTAGGTAGTACCAGTGTTGTATTAGGACTTGTTTTATAAAGTGAACTAATAATTGATGGTCAGGTAGACACGTCCCAGAGGGTGATGGCTGCTGGCTGGAAGGATCTCTTGGACCTTTCTGTGCTCCAGCAGACCCAAAGGAGACTTTTATTTAACACGCTGCTGTGAACTACTGTGTTCTGTAGAGAATGTAACCATCATGTTCTACAGCTTTAACATCAGGCTGGGCAGCACTGATCCTCAAGAGCTGTTATCCTGCTTGTTTTGGGTGTTTCCCTGTTCCAACACACTTAATTCAATGGTTGTATCACCTGTTGTCATCAAGCTGTATTAGCCTTTCAACAACCTAAAAGCAGGTGAGTTAAAGCAGGGAAACAACTAAAACACACTGGGTAGCGGTCCTCTAGGACCAGTGCTGCCATCCTCTGTTCTACAGCATCGTTTCGATAATCAGTTTGTTACATTTTAACGAGGCTACATTATTAAAGTTAAAGTCCCATTAGTTGTCACACACACTGATGTGTGTGCGAAATTTGTTCTCCGCATTTGACCCATCCCCTGGGGGAGCGGTGAGCTGCAGACACGGCCTCGCTCGGGAACCATTTGGTGACTTACAGGTTATAATCTGACCTACAATAAAAAATTTATCTAGTTTAGGAGGCAAGTTTACAGAAAGAGATACCTATTAATACGGCACTGGATGGTGTTAACCCTAACTATGGGTGTCAGTCACCCATGCAATATAAAATAAAGTGATATAATGTGATTGTTTTAATGTTCTAACTATTATTTTTGACACTGTAAAACATATTTATCACAACTGTATAATATATTGTGGGCGACAGTGGCACAGGAGTTAAGTGCTCGCCCCATAAACAGAAGATTGCAGGTTCGAGCCTCGCTCAGTCTGTCGCTGTGGTTGTGTCCTTGGGCAAGACACTTAACCCCCCTTGCCTGCTGGTGGTGGTCGGAGGGACTGGTGGTGCCTGTGCTCGGCAGCCTCACCTCTATCAGTGCGCCGCAGGGCAGCTGTGGCTACGTCGTAGCTCATCCCTAGTAGTGTGTGAATGTGTGTGTGAATGACTGACTGTGTTGTAAAGTGCCTTGGGGGCCCCAGGACTCTAGAAGGTGCTATATCAAATACAGGCCATTTACCATTTACCATTTACCATTGTACAAACTGTAACTAACAGACTGGTGCCAGAAGCAGGTAAACTACAGTTTTACATCTTGGATATTTTAAGATAAATCAATACAAAATGAATATTAGTTTTTCATGTTCATGTCAGAACAATCAACCACACCTGCTCTTGACTAAAA